ACCATGGGCGTCATGGGGAAATGTTTGAAAGCACAGGCCAAGAGCAGGAAGGCAGCACAACTCCCAGCAGTGTCAGCAGGAGGAGGCATTGATGTGGAGGGACAGAGGCTGGGAGAAAAATCCTGTCGGGCCTGGTGGCAGCAAGGAAAAAGTACGCAGTGGGGGCAAAGATGGAAGGAAGGGGGCCCCCCGCCTGTAGACCAGCCCCAAACACACACACAGACACACACAAACACACCCAGCCCACTGCAAAACAGCCCCTACCCCCTGCCATGACCTCCCATGGTGGTTCACCTGGCCAGGCCCTAGAACCGCCGGCCCAGGCCCTGAGTCACTGTGTGGGCTTGTGTGAGGCAGCCCTCTTCTGCCTCCGAAGGGCCCCACCCACCTGGCAGAGCGGGTAGGACTGGGGGCCTGGCAGCGGACCAGATGGGGCCATCCTGGGCAACTCTCAGACAGGCACCCTGGCTAGGAACTGCCTGCAACCTCCACAGGCCGCAGGAAGCACGCCCCAGTCAAGCCAAGCATCAACCGTCCAAAGCAGTATTGAACAGATCATCAGGAAACTACAGATCATCCCCAAATTTCACCCAGAACTCCAGCCTGCCACCACCAGCAAATACTGGAATTGATCACTGGAAGCTCAAATCAACAGCTTGGAGCCTCCTCTCTCGCTCCCTTCCCCACCTCCACCCCCATCCCCACCCCCCCCACCCCCGGGCCCCAGGAGGGAGGGAGGCATCCTGGGTGATCCATTTACTGGGTAATTAGTAATTCCACTCTCCAATCCTCCTGAGTCCTCCAGAGGAGCCGGGTAACCCCTGCCCACCTTGGAACCCACCCCCCCACCCCGAGCATCCCACCCTCTCACTCCTGCCAAAGTCAAAGTGGTCCCCTCTGCCCCAAGCCTCTCAAGCCAGCAGGATCAGCCACTCAGCAAATATTCTCCAGGAGTAATTGGATGTGATGGAACGAGGGCTTTTCAGCTCCTGAGTGGAAGTCTCTGAATGTCATTTAATGGCACAAAACATAAGAGGCCCAGGCCTCCCGCCTACCAGCGCCAGGACGTCATTAATCTCGGTGGAAGGGCGTCAGTGCCTCTGTCACTGCAGCCGGCCCGGCAAAGCACCAGACAAATTACAGACCTGAGCCGGGCGCTCGATGGGGTGGTTAGTAGGCTGCCGTTCAACTTTTGTTTTTTCTTCAGGGTCACTGTCCCCTGCAAGAAGCAGCGGTGCCCCTAGGGAAAGGGGTGGGCGATGGGGAGACAGGGAAGGGGTGGCCGCCTTGGTTAGACACAACTCACCCACCTTGGGGGACAGGGCGGCTCCTCACCAGTAGAGGCTCAAGCAGCTCAACTCATAAAACAGCTCAGAGGAGGCTGCACCCAAGTCTCAGGACCCCCCTGCCGCTTGTTCTCCAGCCTGCCTGAATGGAGGCCTCCCTCCCAGTGGGGGCTGGGAAGCCCCCACTTCCTGGGCTGAGAGGGAAACACTTGAGGGCCTGCTGAGGACCCAATGGCAAGTCAGTTGGGAATGTCCCTTGGCTAGAGCGAGGACACCCAGGGAACACTGAGTCTCGTGCCGTTGGGAAGTCTTAAGAGTGGGCCTGCCAAAGAGGACAGGCGCGATGCTAGGGATAGGACCCCATCTGCCAGGAGCTGCAAAGTTGTGCTCCTGGCCAAGGTCACTCTGTGAAGACCTAGCTTGTTACTAGTCCAGTGTTCATTACCTTGTATTATCAACCCGTTGAGGGTGGGAGTAGGGCCTCAGTGCAAGCAAACCCCCCATGCCCAGCAGACAGGAGGTGGGCTGTCAGCTTGCCCTCGGCCCAGAGCTTGCCCATTCCAGCAGAGGAGCTGTCCACCCCATCCTCACGAGGCCTCCAAGGGGGAAGGACTGGACCAGGAGAATATTTCTCAGTCCTGGGATGCCTGTTCAACCCTGATAGGCCCACCAGGCCTGTCCAGGCCCATGTGATGAACCACTCCCAAACAGTGCTAAGCCAACCCCACAGACTGGGGAAGCCGGGGGCAGAGAGTGACTGGCAAGACCTGCCCCGGGGCGATTCCCGAACATTCTAGCCATTGCAGCCCCTGGGACTCAAGCTCGGCGGATGAGTTGCTGAAATCTTGGAGCCCCTCTCCCAATTGTTGAAGTCACTGTCTAGGAGAGATCAGGCACACACAAACCCCTGATGGCTTTAGGTAAGCTTACCCAGCTCTCCCCTTGGCCCATTTCTGGAACATCTCTCACATCTAATATCCTTCATCGCCAACATCTTCCCTGTTGGCACCAACCAATAGGTGAGAGACTGGCCTGTAGGCGCAGCGGCGGCATAAGGCTTCGCGGGATGGGAACGGTGCCCCCTAGGGTTGTGCAGGGAACAAGCGGCACGTCAGATACGGTGGCCTGCCCTGAGGACACCAGGCCTCCGTGTTCCAGCCACTGCGTGGCTCAGGAAACAGGCTCAGACCCCCTCCTCCTCTCTCCCTCCAGAGGCATTTACAGGGCACTCACTACCCCTGCCCTGGGCCTAGGAAGAGCCCATCCTGGGTGGGCCCAAGGGTGCAAGGGGAGGGGCCCGAGCACAGCCAGCAGCACCGCCGTCTCTGCAGCTCCGGGACAGGACAGAGAGTGCCACACAGGAAGGGACTTTCCTCCACATGGTGACCACGAAGCCACAGACTCCCAGCTCCCCATCTCTCCCCACACACACACCCCTGAGGGTCTGACTCACCCCTCTTCCTTCTAGAACTTGCACAGGGTCAGTTCCTCTTGCCCTTTGTGGCAGGAAACGGGGGTGTAAGGAGTCACGGCCAAGCCAGGGGAGGAGACGGCGGGAGGCTAGCAGCCAGCACGCTGTACCCGCTCTCCTGAGGGACACAGGGGCTGGTTTGCAGAGCTGCCCGAGAACCACAGCATCGTCGGAAATGTGACCAGGAAGGAGGTGGGAGGCTCCAAGGGCACTCCGAGCTCCATCAAGAGAAGTGCTCTGAGCTTGGGGAGGGCAAAGTCTGCAAGATCTCCCTCAGGGCACAGGGGATTTCTTTCCACCAACTTGCCCTGATCTCGTGATGAGAGTTTCAATTCCCTCCTGGCCACCAAGGTTTCTTCCTGCCCTACTCGGTGGGGAAGGCCCCTTTGTCCCCAGGCCTGTCACACACCAGTTCACCCATGAGCCCTTTTCATGGCTTGCACACGTGCGTGTGCACACACACACGTACAAGCATACAAACATACACACACTTTCCCAGGATCATGATACCATAGTTCTTTTCCAGCCAGCCAGGCTTTCCAGGTGTGAAGGCCACGCCAGACCAGTGCCTCCCTGCCTCCCCTCCCAGTGGAAGACCCCGCCACACTCAGTCACCCACCTGTCACCCAGCAGCAGTCTCCCCCAAAGAGAGGCTCTCCCAGGGCCCAGCGCCTCTCTCCCTAATCTGAGCGTGCAGTCACCAGATCGGACCTGCGGGAACCTAAAGAGGCCCTTTCCTCCATCCCTGCCCCGAAGAAGCATCCTCACCGGAACCTCATCTTGTGCCCCATCCTCCCATCTGTGCACGAGGGATAAAAATAGTCTCCCCTGGTGAGGATTAACTGTATGAATATGCATGGAGTTCCCGGCACATATGAAGCACTATATGGATGTGTTATTACTATTATTATTATTTGCATTATCATTATTATTGTCTTGTTTCTTTGGATTAAAACATTCTTGTTTTCCTTGAAAACATCTTTGAAGTGCAAACAGCCCATGGCGGGGAAGGATGATAAGTGGAGTAAGAGCACCTCGGGGGACTTCTGTCTTCCTTGTTGAAAAGGGTAGCGGGTGCAGACAGAGGACCACAGGCCGAGAAAGGGCAGCTCTAAGAGGAAGGCGAGGCTGCCAGCTGTCGTCCTGCTCTCTCTGTGCCTTAGAGATTACTCTTCTCTGCTGGGCCGGGGCCTATCAGTTACTACCTAGCTTTGCTCCGGGCAAGGTCTTACCTGAGCACTCCGTCCACCCGGGGAAGGTGGGTAGATTTGGCCAAAAAGAAAAAGAAAAAAAAATACAGATGCCCAGTTAAATTTGAATTTCAGACAAACAAAGAATGACTTTTTAAGTATGCTTCATGCAATACGTGGGACAGACTTACAAATTATTTGTTGTTTATCTCAAATTCAAGTTAAGCTGGGCATCCCGGATTGTAGCTGGCAATCATGCACAGAGGGTGCCGGAGGCCCAGGGTTTGGGAAACATGAGCGTGGGAATACACTTGTGACCACTTCCCTCAGCTTCTCCCCCGTGCCCAGGGCTGCGCCCTCCTTGCCCTGCTGCCAGGCCTGTCCACACTTGCCCCAGAAGAGGCACCTCCCCCCACACCCCTGTGCTTTCTTCCCTGGAGGAGCACCTGGGCACCAGCCGGGGACTTCTCACCCATACTCTGCTCCCGCAGGATCCAGGTACTTAGGAGCAGGGAGAAGCCTAGCCATATGCCCTGCCCCTCAGCCTCTGCCACAGCTGGGGTTCTGGGGAGGAGACTGGAAGAAGGACATGGACACTTGGGCCAGTCTCAGCCCCAGCAGCTGGGGTGACCAGGTGTGAAGGAAAGAAGCATAAAGGCCTCAGTCATGGGGTCAGGAGAGCCTGTGGAAAAAGAGGGGTGGATGGAGGAAGCGGACAGCCCACCCGACAGGGCACTTCCTTTCTGCCCGTGAGTGAGGAGACAGAGTTATGCCAAATGAAGGGCCCTGGGGAAGGAGACCAAAGGCAGTCCTTGACCCAGTCCAGACTCAGTCCCCGTTGTTCCCTGGAGAGCAACCTCTTTCCAGACACTCTGCTAACATCCAGCGAGGACCCAGAAGGTGCCCCCGGGCACTCTGACATGCTCAGCCCAGTGACCAAGGTCCTTGCTTGCTGTCTCCACTTCCCCAGAGCTGGCCTCCCTGTCAGGCCCCGCCAGCTCCCAGTCCATGGTTGTCCCTCACTGCCTTCCTCTGGTCTGTTTGTCCTTCCAGGCTCTTGGAAAATGGACAAATTCCTGAACCGCTTCCACCTGAGCGAACCTGAAGCAAGCACCCAATTCATGACCCAAAATTACCAGGACTCGCCCAATTACCAGACCCCCGGAGCCGGAAACAGTGAGCCGAAGGATAAACCCAAGTAGAGATAACTGCCTGCCAGACATCAGGCTTCACGCTGAGGGTGTGTGTATCCACGGTGCCCACCAGCGACGGTCTGGGTATGGCACCCCTGCTGGGTATGGCACCCCCTCTGGGTATGGAACCCCTTCTCTTCCAAATTAAAAAAAAAATCATCCAGGGCTTACTGGTTAGATGTGTTCTTTCCTAACCTGTCGTCTTTCAAAAACTAAGAAGAAATCAATCACCGTCCGGCACTGGGAGCCGGGGCTTTCCTATAAACGCAAGTGTGTGTATGTGGTGGGGGGGAGAGGGGGTTGCTGGGAGAGATGGATAGGCAGGAGGTGAGGGTCCCTAGGCCTCAGCTGTCACTGAGGCACTGTGGCCTTGAGTAAATCACATGTCCTCTCTAAAGTTCTGCTCCCTCAGTTGTGAAATCAAGGTAGGAAGGAGCCTTGGGGCAGTTGGTTTATCACCACCGTCCCTTCCAACTCTGACATTCAGCATCATTCATTCGGCAAATATTGTCGGCACCTGGTATGGGCCTGACCTTTTTTTTTTAAGATTTTATTTATTTATTTGTCAGAGAGAGAGAGAGCACAAGCAGCAGGAACGGCAGGCAGAGGGAGAGGGAGAAGCAGGCTCCCCACTGAGCAGGGAGCCCAAT